CCCCAAAACCCCAAAACCCCAAAACCCCAAAACCCCAAAACCCCTGTTGGTTAGACATTTATTGCAAATTTAAACTTATAATTATCTCCATGACCTGATTGTACCGTCTGAACTTGCAGAGAAGAGAGTCGAATTTTCCTGATCAATAATAACTGAATTCACGGAGTCATCATGTCCTTTCAAAGTGCTAACAATTTCTGCTTTCTCAATGTTAATCATTTTGATTGATGCGTCTGCACAACCGACTGCTAATATATTGTTTGTCTTATCAAAGCAAACTGAATGAGCAATAGAATCTCCTGTATCTAGTTGAAGTACTTCTTGAACCATTCTGATATCCCATACTTTTACAATACCATCTGAGTCTCAAGAGCTTATCAAATGGCCAGAAATACTAAATGAAGCCTCATTAACAGAGTTTAGATGCCCGTAAAAGGTTTGGATTGTGAGTCCTGTTCTCATGTCCCAAACTGAAAGTGTTTTATCAGCACTTGCAGACACAAAGAAGTTTGTAAACGGTTGGAAGTTAATAGAATTCACTGAATCAGTATGCCCTCTATAAGCTTGGCGAGCTTTCTCAGCATTCACATCAAAAAGTTTCATTGATCCATCCATGGAACCACTTAGAACAAAATCACCTGTATCATGGAATCTCACACTCCACACAGGCTGTGTATGATCAGTAAATACAACAGAGCAGCATGAATTAATGAAGTCCCATATTTTGATTGTTGTATCTCCTCCAGAAGTGACAAGATGAGATCCAGCAGGGTGAAAATCAACTCCAGAAAGCCAGTCCTTATGGCCTTCTCCTGAGAGTATATTTTCTCCGTCTTCCATATTCCAAATCTTCCACATTCAGTCGTCTGAAACAGTTGCAACAATCTGTTTCTTAAAATGCAAGCACATTCCTCCTATTCCAACATCATGAGCTTTAACTATCTTTTGACTAGAAGGCTTCGAATTGATGTCATCATATTCTCTGGCAAGGAAAGGGTTGGGTCTTGCATCATCAACAGGATAAGGAGTGTTCTGACCCTTCATCTTCAAAATTTGTTTGCCTTTATTAGCACCAGATGCTCTTGCCTTAGACTTCTCAATAGCGTAGGCTACTTCGTCTTCCTTCTCTTTGATTCTTCTCTTTATGTCAATAGCTTTCTTCTGTAATTTTTCTTTCTCTAGCTTCAATAGAGTCTTTTCCTTAAGAGTGACTTCATATTTCTTTGTCAGCTCTTTGATCTTATCTTCATATTGCTCTTGCAAGTCCTTGAGCTTCTTCATATTAGCAGTGATGGTTTCTTTCTCCTTCTGGACTCTGATTGTATGAGTTTTATGGAAATCTCTCTCTTTACGTAATTTTAGCCAAGTAGATTTGGCTTTATCAGCTTTCACTTGCTCTTTCTCTAGCTCTATTTTCATCCTTTTGATCCTCTCCTCCATTCTGGCATTTTTGTTCTCGGTATCGGTGATCAAACCAATATGGTTATCATTGAAAGATCCTTTCTTTTGAAGTTGACTCCACTCGTTCTGGAAAATATTTAAAGTCTGATGCATATTGTACTTTGCAAGATAGTTCCTAATATAGTCATCAATGACTACATGTCTTTTAACTACCTTAGGCTTGACTTCATGCTTAGTTTTGGCAAAGGTTGTTCCAAGATGAGACTTGCCTTGAGTCTGCTTCTCTATCTTCTTTAAATTAGTATTATGCTTGAGTCTTTCAAAGTCCTCCAAATCATCGTCTTCACTCTCTTCTCTCTCTAAAAACTGTTCATCATCACTGTCTTTAATCTCATCATAGTCATAGCCCTCGTCATCATCAGCTGAGATCTCTGCTTTCTCAAGCACAAAGACTTCTTCCTTATCTTCACTACTCATTTTATTTTTATAATATTCAAATATATTAATTAAATTAGGGGTTTTGGGGTTTTGGGGTTTTGGGGTTTTGGGG